TTTTAACTGAGCAGATCAACACGTATCTGCTGGGGAAGAATCCACATCTAAGTGAAAAGCGGGAGGCTGGGACTTCCATCTGCATGAAAGTGGATTGTTTGGGGGTTTTAAACAAACGACTTAATGAGGTGGCACTGGTGCAGACATCTGTCCTCTCTGGGATATCTGAAGTCTGATCCACCATCCCATGGTCCATTTTGCTGTCATTGGAAGGGGCGTGAAACTGGAATAAACCAAACCAAAGCCTTACAGAGCGCTTTGCAGGTTCTGGGGTGATTGGGCACTTTACGAATCTGTGCAACCAGGGGAAGAAACAATGTTTAGAAGACAAGTGGAAACATGCAGGCAAGAGAACAAAAAGAACAGGGCGAGCAAAGCTCTTTTGTGCTGCACCGAGCAGAGTTTTGGTGCAAGTTTTCTGCTAGGCAGCAACGAGGTCCTCCTGCAGACACTGATGGTGGCAGCCCTGGTCCGAGGGCACTGCTTTGGCTGGTCTTTTGGAAATCCCCAGTGGGCAGCACCGCTGGGGAAGAGCTCATTTTGAAAAAGTATAAATCCTCGCTCTGATTTGAATTTTATTTGTTGCAAGGAGGAGCCAGCTCCCAGGGCACCCCTCCATCCCCAGGACACAAGAAGTGAGAAGTGACTGCTGGCATCGTGCAGCAGCCTGCGCTGGCTGAAGGCCTCCTGTCAGGCAACAACCCACCCTCTCTTATCAGCAGGGCCACTCAGCTACTCATGGCTGGGGAGGGTTTGGATGGATGAAAACTGTGTAGCGCTCTGCTTAAGCTGCACCAAGAAGCTCACACGTTGCCTGAAGTTCTGTAGGACCTAAAGCCTGTGACTGCATTTGTAACTCTCCTCTGTGGGGCAAGGAGGAGGAAACCTCATCTTCCCCAAGACACTACTCAGCCTCCACACCCTGCTCTGGTGTTGATCTCAAGGCCCAGGATCCACAGACCTTTGTGCTTCCTCCCACAGATGTTTCTGGAGATGTTTCTGCAAGAGGTGATCTTGAACCCAGCGCAAAGCTCCTACTGACCTGCATAGCTATGGACCAGCAGAACAGGGACAGGGACCATGACTCTTGCACCCTAACCTTGTGCTGGTTCTGGTTTATTGGCTTACCAAGAGCCCAAAGTGATTGCTGAGGGCTCACCCCCCTTTTTTATAGGCACTTCAATTCAGAGCCTCGAAAGTCCTGAGGCACTTACCTTCTATCACCTTAGGATTTAGATAATACAGTTTTTGAAGTTTGGTGCTGGATCACTTTGCGGATTTATGTGCTCCATTCTCCCACTGTCCCCCTGTTCTCCTTGGCAGCGCTGCTCATGGTGTGTGTGCTGCCTCACAGGTCTGGGAAGAGGATCTGCCATGACACAGCCTCCTCGTGATGCCAGGGTCAGGGCTTACAGGACCACAGGCTCCTTTCTGTGTCTTACAGAGGTGAGGGCAGTGCACAGGCTGATATTGATAAGACAGTCTTTAATGGCCCATCCATAACTTCAGCTGGCTAGCCACTGGTCTCTAAAATTTTCCTTGTTTAAGGAGAAAAAAAAAAAAAAATCTGCTCCTGTTTTATTCACCCTGGTGCAGGAATGGGGAGTTCATGCTTCCATCCTGTATCTTGGCCACTTGAGTCCAACAAATACAACTATGCGAGGATATGGATTCTGGATTTTTCAATTCAGCATCTTTGGCTTGACCAAAGTCTGCTCAGACCACTGCGAACTGTCTGTACCCCTCATCCTGGAGAAACCCATCCTGAGGGTGGCTGTGCTTTGCAGTCTGTGTGGCCCCAGGGGGTCATTTGGGGAGTCAAGGACCTTGCACCCTTCACTGGCCGTATTTTTTTGTGCTATAACAACTACAGAAAACGCACCCAGAAGTTTCTCGGCCTTTCACCCACCTCTGCTTAGAAAAATGCCTAAAAGTTTTTGCCTCCTTTTTTCCCCAGTTGTATTAGGCAAAGCCATAGACAACTAACCACGAGTAAAAGAGGTAGGATATAGTTATGTGGCCACCTCTTCCCCTCACCACTGGCATGGTCTCTGGAGCCACCTCAGACTGAATTTACTCTCTGAATGCAGACCCTGGGGGTTGTGCTGGCGGTGCTGGAGATTCGATGACCTGCCTTCGTGTACAGAGCTGAGCTTGCAGGCAGAGGAGCATTTGACTCGTGCGCAGGGCAAAAGGAAAGGAGCCCTTTTTCTGCTTCTAGTTTCAAGTTGGCTTGACCATTGTCTGATGCTGTTCAGTGAAAGCTGAGCACTGGGCAGGGAAGCGGCAGCTGAATACTCTAACAAGTGGCTTGTTAGTGAGGAATGTCCTGCGGTAGGTACGGAGCAGCCTTGTCACTTCTCAGCCAATCCTCCGAGGACAAGAAGGAAGGAGGACAAAATGAGTGCAGCCCTCCTGGGCCTCCCCTTAAGAGTTTAAAAGCAAAATATTGATTTTGAGTTACCCTGCTTCAACTCAGCTTCACTCTCCCGATATTTTTATTCCCTTGTAGATTTCTGACTCCATTTGTTTTTTAAAGAAATCACTGGTGAAATTGTGTTGTGTCCATGTAGCATCCCTGCGCCTAAAAATATGGTCAATTGACACCTTGAAGGTTTCCAGGCAACTCTAACCATTTGTGACATCTTTAGCTGCATCCCCAGTATGTTCAAAACAGATGAAGTGAATGAATTGATTTTAGCTGTATAAAACCCTTGACAAAAATCTCTTTGTGGCCATCCAGTTAGTCTCTTGATGATTTGTAGAGTATTTGCTTATGCCATGAACTCGATCCTTCCCATCTCTCCGCTTGTTTTTAGCTGGCTCTGCCATGGATTCCCCGCTCCTGAATGCACTGCAGTCACCTTCCCAAGAGCTCGAGCCGAGAGCCAGTTGAACAATGCCGTACCTACAGCCACAATGTCGTCAGGTCAGACCTGAGCATTATATGTGCCATAATGTACCATATGAACAGCTCTTGACAGTTGCAGGACAAAAACAAGCAACTTTGTTAGGTGTTTCAAATTATTGCAACACCCAATTCACCCAATAAAATCAGCAGATCTGTATAACTTGACTCAAAGCCCCAGCAAAGTCACAATGACTCTTGAACTTGCTTAAGGAGATGGTGCATAGAACAACACAGCAAAAACCATTCTCTTTGTCCCCCCCCAAAAAAATTGAATATTTGCATGTGATGAAACATGCAGTAGGCCAGGAATAAATTAAGTGCAGAATCTCAACTCCTTTAATCAAATAATCTGCTAAACTGAAGTTTATGTGTGTGGTCTGAAAGGAAATTCCTTTGAAGACATATGGTCTTTTCACTGTACCCTACTTTGGATCAAGTTCCATTGTATTAACAAACATATAGATAAATTGTTTTATGGGCTTGATTATTTTGGTTTTTTTGAGGGTGGCTCTGAGTGCTTCTAACCCCAGGGATTCAGGCCTGTCCAAGTACAAAGCACAGTAACCATGCATGATAAGCAATAATTTCAGAGCTCGACATTTGGTGTCTCCGCTCCCCTTGACAAAAATAGATGACTGAATCAGAGACAGGAGCCTGCTGGATATGCTACTGATGGGGCTGGAGTGCTGATACGAACACATCCTTCAAGAAGTGTAAGATATTCTTGATTAATTAGAGACAGACTTATCTGAATCCAAGAAAAACAGCAAACACTTCTGGCAGTAAGAGGGTGTGAGCAGGACACCAAGGTCTGGCTCTGGCAAAGTATTCGATGCCTACAGAAGAGCTGTGCCCATGCCTGGTGCCCTGGTAATAACCACTGAATGTCTCTAACCTGGCTTCTCTGCAACACGAGCCGTAGGATTTCTTCAGCGACTCCTGCATCAACTCCAGCCTTTCTGGTTGAGCAAGAGCGTTTTCTGAAGGAAAGCATCAAATCTGAAGGTAGAGTGACAAAGAATCAGGTAAGCTGATCTTCTAATGTTTCAAATAAAAAAAAAAAAAGTAAGAAAGATGCTTCTCTGTAGTATCTGTTGTTAGAGGAAGTGAGGTGATGCAACTGAGCTGATCTCTGACATCAACAGGAAGGTGTTCTGTTCGCTTGCCCTCATCCCTGCTCTTTTCCAGATGCCCAGTCTGCTCCTCAGACCCTGCTGTGACTCAATTCAGTGGAATATTAATCCAGAGAAAATCAAGATTTTCTGTGAATGGCCACAGGAAAATCACACGGATGATTCTCTGTCAGCTGAGGGAGTTAAAGCAAAGGGCCACGTGAACACTGAAACAGTTTGAGGTGGGAAGGAGGGCTGTGAGCCAAAAGTGGGGAAAGGGAGGAACGGGGATCACCACTTGACACGGAAACTGGAGAGCTTCAGCTTCTTTGGAGACTTTGTTTTGAGGGAAAAGAGGATACTTGCACAATGCACAGAAACACGCGGGAACCTGTATGTTCTGCAGGTAGCCATACCAGTATGAAAGGTCTACCTCCTCTCCCGCTGCACATCGTGTCCGTATTACTGGTTCCTAATTGTACACGAGGAGGCAAGACCCTGGGATCTGCATCCCGCAGGGGTGCCTCTGCCAGAGACCCAGCGTCGGGCGAGAGCTGCTGCAGGGTTTGCTCTGCTCACGGTGGTACCGTGCTGTCCTCCTGAATGCGTGGCTGTCCCGGGGCACACGGAGACATGTGGGAGGCATGACATCGGTGTGTGACAGCCCGGCCAGTGAGGGACAGCTGAAGGAGCCTTTCCAGATGCATTGGGAGCGAGAGTAACGTCAGCCATCCGCAGATGCGGCATCTGATTTATTCTGCATTGCGGAGGTGCGAGTAGATTCCCACTGGCATGGTGGCACTGGCTCAGGTCAGGGAGGACCTGGCACCAGCTCTGGTTCAGGGAGAAGCTTTATCTGAGAGCAAGGAACAACGCTGCAGCGTGGAAGGGCAGTGTGCAGGGCTGCTGCAGGTGGGGATGGAGGGAGGGAGAGTCCTTGACAGCCTGTGGGTTCCTCTCGCCGCCTGCACCATCACCCGCAGCTTCGCCTCCGGGGCCGAGGGGTGCAGCACCATGCCCCGGGTTTCTGGCTGCTCTCTGGTGCATGTGTGGCTTCCTGTGGAGCTGCTCTGAATTGCACTTGTTGGGAGCCTCTGCACCAGCCAGCGGCACGCTGAAAAGCGTCATCCGAGATGGCTTGGCTTTTGCAGCATAAGCTGGTTTTTAAAAGCTGTGATCGTGTCAGCAAACACAGCCTGTCACGTTCCCCTTACCCTCCTGCTGCAACCGCAGCACACCCCGCGCTGACCACCCGGCACGAGCGACGGCGTTTCCTCCAGCTACCCATATCCATGCTTCAGGAAGGCCCCAGCAAGCCCCACTCTCCCCTCAGCCTTGGCCGGGCAGGCCAGGGGTCCACCGAGGGGCCACCGGCAGCAGGAGCTGAGAAGCAATCACAGCGTAATGCTGCAGGGCCGCTGGGTTTGGGAACAGGCATTGGAGTCTGGAAGGCTGCTGGGGCGGGCAGGGCGGTGGGATTTGCTTTCAAGCTGTGCCAGTTGACTTCTGAGGCTTTTCTTTCTCAAGCCAGCTGACGCGAACCAGGCAGATTTGCTGAGCGACGGCGGCCAGGGGAGCCAGATCCTGGGGGATGCTTCCTCCCCGGTCCCCCACAAGCAGGAGCCTCCCCGAGGCTCTTGCAAGGGTGAGGAGGAGGCCAAAGAGCAGCTGTTTCTGTTCATTGGTGGATTTCTGGCAGGGCATCTGCTTGGAAATGGCGGGGCAGAGTTTTCTCTCCGACTCCATCCCCGCCATGGGGGAAGGACGAGTGGGGAAGCCACAAGCGAAAGCAGGGCAAAGAGAAACGGGCTGGTGCTGCCTGCTGACGCTTTTGGTTTTGAGGGCTTCACAGCCGTAGGCTTTCTGCAGCTGGCTGGAGCGTGCGTGGGCAGGTCAGGCAGGTTCGGCCCCGTCTGCCGGGGCGAAGGGGGCAGATGGGGGTGCTGGGTCCTCCAAGGCAAACGCCCGCACAGCAGTGCAGCCCAGGCCCCGGCTGTCCCTCTCCTCTGTCCCAGCTATGGATGCAGTGGGTCTCCTGGGAAGTTTTTGCCTGGGATTTGTTTTTTTCCCTCAGCTGTGCCTTTGTACCCATCTCTGCCCTCCGGCCTGACGGAGGAGGTTTGGGTAAGGAGCGGCTGGAGCAGCCACCGCACTTCCCAGGGCACAGGGCGTCCCAGAAACAGAACGTGAAGCAGCCATCAGCCAGCGGTGCCCGGCTGCATGGGGGACCGGCCGAAAAAAGTGCCCAGGTAGAGTTAGGAGGTCATGCCTATAGCAAAAATAAGGGCTTAAGGAAGTTACAGAACAATATTATCGGCTAACGTGCCCTGCCTACAAAGATACCAATCTCTCCTCAGGCTATAAAGTCTAAATGTGAAAAAAAAGTTGAAAAAGTAATTTCAGAGCTGGCTGTGGTTTTCCTAGTCAGGCACTAGCACGGTCAGCCACCCAACCCACCGCTCCTCAAACACAGTATTTTCTCAAAAGCATTTATTCTAAAAAGAAGAATGTTATTCCAAGCCTCCAATTTAAATATACAGAAATCCAGATGGGAGAAGTGTTAATTTGAATTTACACATACGATATCACAGCCTGTAGGGGTTAAGGAGAAGGAAGGAAAATAAAACCTGTACTTTTTTTCTTGTAAGTAAATTACATGATAAAGTTTTTTAAAAAAAAAATGCTGTATTCCAAATGCCATCACTTTTACGACTTCTGAAAAATATATTTAGCCATAAGTGGAGTGGAATGTCTAGTAAGATCTGTTCGTATTCCAGTCATAAGAAGGACAAATTATTTTGGTAGCCAAGCCAGGTAAGGTAGCCAAGCTCAACCTAAGACTATTTCTACACTTGTCCACTACAATGTAACATCATCTTTTTTTTTTAAGATTATGCATGTTCAAGTCCAGAGTGTCAGCATCGGTGTCAGAACCTCTTGATACGGCTGGTGCAAGAAGAGCCAGAGTAACACCAGGAAAGGGCAGATAGGCAGGTGCTCAGGTTATTTAGCGCGGCTCATGGCCTTTGGCCATGCTGCACTTTCTAAAGACATCAAAGGTGAGTTGCTCCCATCCCAGGCACCATCTGCTCTGCTTTTTCCTCCAGTGGAAGTTTAAAGACCATAAAAAGCTGGTTGTATACCCCAGAGCACTCCAGTGCTGGCTGCGGGAAACGCAGCTGGACACAGACCGGCACCAAACCAACCAGCAGCTCCCTGAATGTCGAGTGCCGTGAGGTTGATGGGTGATTCACAGGTACCGGCTGTTGTGGGGTGATGTTGGGCTGCTCTCAGCATGCAGCCACCCTGGCTGTCCCTGCCTGGTGGGGACACACGTATGGGGCAGTGGGACATGGATCCAGAGCACTCCTGGGAAGGAGGGGAGCAGGTTTGAGCCTGGGTGCTGGGAAGGGCTGGTGCTGGTGCAAGACCGCTCAAGTCAGTAGCGAGGATGCCTACGCCGTAGACTTGCCCACGCTGAAAAATAAGAAGTGGAAAAGTTGTGGCTGGGGGGAGGCAATCCCCGGGGCTGCTGAGCCAGCGAGGGATGGAGGCGTCAGGAAGGGGCTCTGCGGGGAAGCATGGGGACGAAACTTACGGGAGGCGTTTCAGCCCTATTGAATCTCTGCCGACTTCACGTGAGTCACAGCCGGGGAGAGCTGTTCTCATTGCTGTTGAGAAATATGATGAGGGGGAACCTTGTCATAATTTTTTTTTTTTTTTGTTTAGTCACTGGTTTATTTTCCTGTGAATGGTAGTAACAGTTCAGCCTACAAACTGATGTAATTGTGAAACTTTTTTTCAGCTCAAATGCCCCTGCATGTATGCTTTAAAGCAGATTGCCCTAAAGGTATTTTGGTTGTACCTAATACTTTTACATAATCATTTTCTTTAAATTATTTTTTATAATGATGTTACACTAAGGATTTTTGTAATGCTTCTTGTTACAAACATTGTTTCCACCTCTCATTTTTTATAATTGTTTGCAAGCTCTATAAAATCAGAATTTCCAAAAGCAAGGAGCTATGGCAAGTCAAGTATTCAACCAGGATTTAATAGACATCGCCGTGCCCCTCTTTCCTTAGGAGGTTCTTCACCTGGGCCTTTCAAGGGTTTGCTATAACAGAGGTTGGTACGTTTTCCAGGTCACAGAGCTTTAAACATTGTCTATGAAAACTGCAACCTCTTCTAAAAACGGAAGTAAATGTTACTGGAGCTCCTGCAGTCTTGCAGGAGGTACTACGTGGCTGAACGTGCTTTTCATAGTCAAGTTTTGGGGATGCCTTCATTGTGTTAGTTGAAAACTGCCTATGTTTATTAAGATGTGCTTTGCATTAAGGCTTTCATGCAGAGAGACCTGTTACTAGATGTATGAATAGGCTGAGGCAAACTTCAGCTGAGTAGCGCTGTACAGAGTCCCCATCTTTGCAGAGAAATAAGAAGTCTCTGGCAAAGACTCGTATTTATTAGGAAGGAGAGGATGGGTAATGGGGAGCGAATCTAAAGACAGCCCTGGCAAAGCCTTTACTCGGATAACGGGCACGCAGCCCAGCCACTGAAGTTAGCAAGGCTGTGGTTTCAGTCGGGCATGCTTTAGCCGTCACGTGGGTTTATGGAGTTGCCTCGCTCCTCTCCTGTGGGTTCTGGCCCCTGTAGTACAGTGTATGACCCCCAGCACAGCCACGTGGGGATCTGGGCTATGAGCATGGATTTTAAGAGCCGATTGATGTTTCTGACTGATCCCAGCAGTGGCTGGGCCGGCCCAGCTGAAGGGTCACTGGCCACAGCTGGGAATAGGAGCGATGAAAAGGGCATGCCCCAAAGCAAGATGCTGTGAACCTGCAGCCTGAGCTGCTTTATGTTAACTGAGCCATAGTAAATCATCCTTCTAGCTCTTAGCCATATCAGATACCACCAGATTACACTTTGGTGAGACAGACAGAAAGTGCAACCAGGCTTGATCTGCCACTGCCTATTGTGATTCTGAGCTGGCAGATTTTGAACTCTGGGCTTTGTGTAAGTGAGCACAGAGGAAGGCAGGCAGCGGAGAGTTAGTTCAGAGAGGTGTAACTGCCTCTGTCCTGGGTGTTTGACATCGAATCTGGAGAGAGAAACCAGTGCTGGCTGCTTTAACTCTCTGACTGCTGCTCTGCTTAGAGCTGGGAGGGCTGACGATGTTACTGCCCCAGCCCCTGCCAGCTGCGCTGCGGCCACACCAGCTGCCAAGCTGCCAGAGGTTAGGGTGCAGCACTTTCAGGAAAATCGTTATTTATCTCCGTATGCCTTAAAATGCCGCCACGGGTCAGGAGCTGCAAGCAGATCAGACCATGGTTCAACAAATCTGGTTTTTAGATTCTTCATACTGAATCAGAAGAGCTGTGGCCACGGCCCTCAGATTGCTGACGGGTACACCCACGCCCGGGCTCAGATTTCTTCAAAACACACCGAGAGGTTGACTCTGCACCCGCAGCCCTTTACGCTGAACCGGGTGCTGCCTACTCGCCTGCAGCTGGCTAAACCTCGGTCGGGCGCGTGGACCGATTTGACAGAAACGTGACCACATGCCTGAGCCTAAACTGGGTCAGATGAGCATCGCTGGGCGCCCCAGCAGCTACCAGGTATACCTCTGCCGAGCGCGGAGCCCCAGCCCTCGGCAGGCAGACAGCTGCCTGGCCAACATGCCCGGCTTGTCTGCCAGGGAGGGTTCGACGGGTGCCTGTGAAACCAGCGGAGGAAGTTTCTACCCCACAGCTCTTTGTTTTCGTTCTCGTAATGCTGCTTGTCGCCTTCATTGCGCTGATGCAGCTGTTGGTAGGGCTGCGCGCTGAACCTGATCCCTGCCGCAAGCGGGGTTAAAAACACGCTCTTTTGGGAGGGGGTAATTATTAAGCAGAACTACCTCCAAGGCTGGGTTTACAGCACAGCCTTCCAAATGCTCGTACAGACCGACCTGAGGGGCAAAGAGCTGAGCCGTAGCCGTGGGCGGGCAACTGCCAGGGAACTGGAGGCTTCGTTGTCCGGCGTTGCCAGTAAAGCCGATGCCTGGTAGAACTGCAGCCAGGGCCCTTTTGCTGCTGCTTGCGATAGCCGTTCTCCACCTGGCGTGCTCCACTTGGACCACGGGCCTTTCACGTGACGCAGGGCAGCGCTCTTGTACGTACTTCGTATTCTTCATCCGAGCTACATGTGCCACTTTGACTCCTTCGTCCCATGGGGCAGGATTTTATTCTCTTGCAGACCGCGTTCTCTCTGACACAGATTTCTTGCATGCAAATCAAGAAGTTGAGGGGAAGACAAGCTAATGAATATGCTAGGAGTGGAGAAGTGGTATATTGTTATGGTTACGTTACGGTGCATGTAAAGCAGAAAACAATCAAATACGAATATTGCAGAACCAAAACCCAGCAGTTCTGCATCGGAACGTGTGAGAACAAAGATGTGCCGTTGCAAGGTTTAAAGTTCTACTGAAAATCAGCGATTGTGGCTTAAAATCTTTACTGGAAACAAGTGGCTGTAATCTGTACATTGTTTAGGAAAAGAAGAAGTGATTTTCCATGTTTTGAACATCTCTGCCTCATTGCGGATTCCTTCTTTAGGATGCTGAGAAAGGCGATGTTCTATGATCAGGTTAGAGGACACAGGGAGGTGGAAATTTCAAAATAAAACTGCAGGAAAGGTTAGAAAATGGTTGTGTTTAGTGATTTTGTCAAGTCAGTAAACAAAGGCATAGTCACAGAAGTTTATCCCCTTGGTCAGCACAATCCACATTTCTCACTGCCCAGCCTTAAACACCAAGTATGTGAGTCTACCTCCTGCTTTATTCGTTGCTGCACCCCTGGGTTGTGGTTCAGCTGAAATATTCTCCCAGTTTGAGGGAGCTGGTGGTGGTTTGTCTCAGTATGTCCCCCTATAAGCAATGAGATAGCCATATCCAGAGAGTCGCCTGCTGCCCTGCCCTGGTTCTGTCTGAAGGTTTTCCTGCCTCACTGAGACACGGCTGCGAGAGTGAGCCAGGCTCATCTGCAAAGCAACCTTGGTGGTGTGATGCTCCAAGCATCCCACCTGGGCCGCCCTCCTGGGGGAGGCAAAGCAAGAGCCGGGCTCGTAACTGGCCAGGGCCTCTGTGACCGGGCTGGGGACAGCTGCTGGGGTGTGGGGAGTTAGGTAAAGGCTGAGGACTGTGGATGTTCGTCTTGGAGTCTTAACTCTTCCGCAGAGCCATTGCAGGAATGATGAAATCCACCTTGCCAGCTTGTGGTAGCCCTGGATGTCACCACTTTTTCTCACATCTTTTCCATAAGTGCCGTCTTTTCTCTTCTCTCGGCCTCTCAGAGTTTCTGGAGGAAAAGAAAAGGAAGGCTGTTACAAATCACAGCCCAGAGTGCAGCTTCCATTTTGAGCTTTCTTTGGTATCAGCGGTGGAGTGGTTCTCTTCTACAACACAATGTGCCTCACCAAGAAACCCACTTCTGCATTGTCACATGATTTATATGTATTTTGTCTCTTTTTTAGAAGTAATTTCTAATTAATTAAAATGAATTCATGTAATCATTAAAATAACTTAAAAGGCAATGAAATCAGATGGAACTTGCAAAGCATAGCAGCCTGTCCCTCTCTTGCCTGCAGCCTTTCAAAGAGAGGTGTGCAAGACACAGATTATTGCTTTTCTCATTTCTTCTTAGTCTTTCCCAAAAACATTCTCCTAATCATTTCTGTTTCTGTGACGCCAAGTCTCTTCTTGTACTTGGTAACCAAATTTATTGCTTTTTTCCTAGGTGATTCCTATCACATCAAAACTGATAGTAAAATTGGATTTTAGTGGGAGTTTTGCCTGAGTAGGAACTTAGAGCATTTTGGCCACCCCGCATTGAAAGAGAGCCTGTAGATCTGTGTGTGTGTGTCTGTGTGTACATTGTATGCATACATATATTATGTGTATATATATACAAATCTGTGAAAGCGCATAATTTCTTGGCTCTCATCCTAACCTTTGTGCAACTGGGTGCTGGGATCTGGATTTGCAGTGTGCTTAGCAGCACTTTTTAATGAAGAGGTGTTTTCTCCCTTGGAGCTGTCATTCTCTGCCACATCACAGACTCTTTCAGACAGAAAAATAATTGGCCACTTTCTCCGAGCGTGGAATCGGAGAGCCCCGGGGACCGGCCAAGTGCTCAGCAAACTGGGACAGCGGCTCAGAGTGGCACCCACTCATGTCCCCCTAACCCGTGGTGGGACTCCCCATGCAGGTCCTGCCCTCTGGGGCACCACCCACCCCTCAGTGCTTGAATGAGGTCTGGTAGATGGGGCCATGAAATGTGACAGGCAAGACCCAAAACCCCAGAGGGAGGAAGGTGAAACAAAATGGACAATTATTTCCAGAGCTGTTCAGCTACCAGATGGAAATGCAGACTTGCTTTGCTTTTTTTTTCTTTTCTGAAACCTGTGTATTTGCTGCCTGGTGGGATGGTTTTCCATGTTTGCAGTAGGATTTTTATAGTTTTGCTTTAAAGCTGAATTTTTAGCAGCAATTTTTCTACTCAGGAATTCCTAACATCCACCTTTCATCAAATATTCCCCAGAGGTGTTAGCCTTCAGAAATAAGAAACACAGTAAAAATTCGCCCCTTGGGACCGCCCACCTACTACATGGCATGTAGAAAAGTGATGAAATAAGTGGTCGAGGCATCTACGTGGTCCTCAAGCCACGGGTGGACATGAAGAGCTCCTGCCTGGCAGGAACGTGGCAGCATCCCACACCACCCCAATGCTGAAAGGCAAATGCAGCGCAGCTTCCCCTGTCTTGCACAGCAAGTTACCCCAGGTCCAGCTCTGCCTCTTGCAGATCACTGCTCACTGCCCTGACCGCTCTCGTTACGACAGCGCAGACCGTGACCCAGGGGCTGGCAACCCAAGAAAGGATGGCCCGTGCCCTGCATGGCTGCTGGTTGCCATCTGCCCCCCTGCGTGGAAGGCTCCTGCTCTCGTTGCTGCCTCCACCGAAGAAAAAGCGCGTCCTTCGCCTTGCTGTCACACCTCACAGACTGACCGCTTAGCTCTGACTCCGGGTAGTTTAGGAGAAAAATCTGGACAGTGAGCTGGAGCAGCAGAGGCAGGAATTTCTGCCGGGAGCCAAGGATGGCCGTCGTGCGGGTCCCTGCGTGTCCCCTGCCACCAGGCTGGCACCAGGAGCATGGGCTTAGGAAGACCCCCGCGGGATGGAGGGGCACAGCCCCCTGATCTCTATCATCATCGTGCTGGGGCTCTGTGTTTTACTCGCCCCGTTGTTCCACAGCTGTCAAACCCTGCTCCTTAGGCTGTATATAGGGGTAATTGGAAGGTGGGATTTTAGCTTGAGTAGGGCTGAATAAGGTGTAAACTAGGCAGAAATGTTGCCATGATAGTATTACTTTTATCAAGGCCTCACCACCTTGTGGACATGAGGGTCTGACTGCTCACACCAAGTCCCTTGCTACTTTTTAATGGGTCATACGAAAGGGGGTTGTATTTTAATTCAGATCAACACCTAAAACAAAAGATCAGAAGACTTTTTTTTCCACATCCTTTTCAAATTCCTGACATCCATTCCTTTTCTGCCCTCCAGTCCATAGCTGTGGGCAACAGGAGAAGCAGGAGCTGCCTGAAACGCGAATAGTGGAGAAAGGAGAGAATACAGTCAAAAAAAGGAAAGAATGTGCATTTGTGAGATGGTTTAAAGCTGTGCAGTGATGTTGCTCATTTGTCCGTTCTCATCTGCATAACTCCAACTCTTCAAGCTCAAATTTTCCCTCGCTAATGTGCTAGGAATCAACACAATCATCTGTGCTAGAAAAAAACGGCGCTCGTAATTCACTCTCTGAAGTTAATGGGAGAGAAGCGGTGCAGGGATCCTTTCACATCGCCCTTGTGTCACCGGGGAGCAAATGCTGGTGGCAAAGCAGC